TTTAAATGTTGCTACTGTTTCAGAGAAAGAAAATAAATAGTAATGGTAGGAGAAAAAGGTGACACACACAAAACCTTCAAAATGAGGAAGTGGAGCTGAAATTATCTGAAAGACCTGTGTTTTGGGATGTGAGGGAGGCAGAGAAAGGATAGATGCCAAGGAAGCTTGTGCAATGTAGGAGAAAGGAATGTTTTCACTTAATTTGTTCACAAACATTACTTCACTTTGTATTATTTTGGCCAGAACATGGAGGTGATAACACTGAAATGTGTTCTAATATCATCTAAACCTTCTCTGGAGCTTTTCTATACTGCTTGATTTATTTGGGGCACCTGATTGTTATTTTAGTGGACATTATAATTTGAGAAACACTAAATATTCACAGCAACATAGATCCTGAAATCACTATCTGCAAGGGAGCAAATAATCTGAGTGTCTTCCCTGCATATATTCTCAGCTGATTTTTACACTGAAAAATAAATTTTCACTCTAGAAGTTAGATAACATACACTCATGTACCTCATGTGTCTCTCATTGTATAATTTTATTTAATAAAATCCTGAGTCATTTCACTTCTAGAATCAATCTGTGGTTCCAGAGGTGATATGTAATCAAGACACATAGTAAAAAACAGACAATTCAAAAACAGATACAATGAACAAGGACAAAACTAGACAACAGACTATTTAAAAGAGCTGGCTTTGTTCTCAGTTCTGTAGGAACAAATTCTGTGAAGGGATTTTACACTAACAGATATCTTGCAAATATACATTGAAAATACCCATTGGGATGTTTTCAGTAAGGACAGGATTCTCCCTGCTCATTTTAGTAGGATAGCTACAATGATATATTTTATTACTGTAACTTTAATTCCCAGGAATACAGTTCTATCCCCATTTTATTTGAACTGTGAAAGTTATGATCAGTATTTTGGGTGATTGTTTTGGTTTTGTTTCATATTATTAAGGGATTTGGGGAAAATAAGTGGGAAAAGAGAGAGAGTTAAATATTGTTTTTGGAAATAGGAAGAAATAGAACAACTTTCAAAATAGCTAATACATAAAAGGGAAGAGAGAATTTTTAGAACCATCCACATATTGAAACAACATGAATCATGTGAGTCTTTCTGGAAATATGTCAATGCCACCATGCACAATCAGTAGAACACAAATCTGAAAGGATTTTTGCAGTGATTCCCCTTAAGCATAGAGAGTTTGTCAGCTGTCCAGGTTTTTCAGAATACATATGTAATCTCAGATGGGGACAAGATTTTAAATTAGTTAATGTCCTTACAGCAGGGAAAAAAGAAACAAAACCAAAAACAAACAAACCCTGTCTTGACAATGTACTGGTAATACAGACTTAATTCAAAGAGATGTATAATACATGCATATGCAGGTAGCTATGTAGACAAAAGACAAGTAAATCCATTTGGATATGATACTGCTGTATCTGATTTTGGCAGGAGGTTCCTGGATTTTTCCAGTGTCTCATCTACTGCAGCTTCCGGCTGTCTTTCAGTTTTGGTATTTTTCCTGTAAGTAACATAACAGCTTTTCAAGTCCCAACCTCACAGCTTCCTATTATACTTGCAAATAGTCAGCTAAAGTACATCTGTTCTTTACAGAGAAATATGGGTTTACCTATTTTTCTTTTTCTTCCCGTTTTTTTTTTTTTTTCTTCATGGCATTGGCTGTAGCTTACCAAAATATATACTAAATAATTTGTGTATATATGCTTTTTATGTTAAGCACTGTATATTCTAGTTAGAAAGTACGTGCACATAAATACACACCTAATTTAGTCACTAAAATATTCTGCTAAATAGAAAACGTTTAAGAAATAAACGTATGATACTTCTATATTGCACTAGGCTACTTGTTTCAAATCCATGTAGGTATACAACTGACATCAATGGAAAACCTTGGAGAAGGTTTTTGGCTCACTAAGCACAGCTTTGCATGATGGCAAACAGTTTCTCCATTACTGCTGATGTTAAGAGGCTGTATTTTATTGCCTCCCTTCCCTCTTCCTTGTTTCTCTGTAGCTTGCTGGACTGGAGAGTAAAGATCCTTCATTTAGCTGTCATCCAGACACAGTGTTTTAGTCTGACACCTGAGCTTAATTTAGAAAAATAAGATTATTGGAATGCAAATTAATTCTTAGTATCTGCATTTAGAGTATGCAAAATGTACTGCAATTTTAATGGCTTGGTTGTTCACATTTTTCTTCAGTTGCTGCAGAACACACTTCAAAACATATGTTTTAAATTACGTAAAATATATATTTTATGTTGTGCACTGAAAGCAAGGCAATCTGGAGGAGAAAATTTCCCAGCAGCAAAAAATCTGGCACGGTGTTATTATTATGTTCTTATATTCTGAAGTTTGTTTTTTGTTTTGTTTTGTATTTATTTGTTTTTGGAGTGAGAAAAGAGAAGAAAGGAACACGTTCTATTAAAATAGCACAACAGACAAAATCAGGAGCAAATCAGAACAAAAAATTAATCATTCTTTGTTTTGACTGGCCAAAAAAGTGGACAAGTGCTAAAACAGAGAGCATTAAATTCCTAATATACAGTAGATTTAGTAGCTTTCTCTGTTTCTACAGCTCCAGCAACATTAAAGGCTTTACCAATAAGTATACACGGAATTACGAATGGCTGCATTGAAAATACTCTGATATTTGGTATGCCTGTGCATTCTTGCAATACAAGCTCTCCTGAACTAATTGTCATGTCATTGCACAGAAACAGAAGGTTTCAGAACTATCCATATCATACTCAGTTTCGTATGTTAGTGCTTCGTATGTAAAAGCAGGACCTTTCCAAACTAGGAGCTACTCATGCCCTGGAAAGAAGACCCCAAAAGGAGAGCCAAACCCCTGTCAGAAGATGGGAGCCGAGACATGTTCCTTTGTTATTTTGAGAGGAAAGCCCACTGTCATACACAGATGTTTTATTTGCCAGCAACATCCAGCACGATGCTCAGTGTTAAGAAAACCTCAATGACAAGAGCAAATTATTCAGATTACCGTACTAAACAACCTTCTGCACTCAGAAATGGTCCAGCAAAGCCCTGCTGGGCTTGGAGGAATTTCACTTCTATTCCAGTTTAACAGTGAGCCAGAAAGGAGACATTTAAAGCAATAAAGTGAGGAACAGATGGGTGAGCCAAAGGTTAGTGTTAATTTGATCCTCTGAAAATTAGCTCAATGGTCATCATTACCACAGACTGACACAACAAGAAATGTCATTGGAAGAAACAGAGAAAAGTAGTACAAGCAGAGAGGGATCAAAAAAATACCAACAAAAAATAAAACCAAGTATATATAAATACTAATTCATAAAAAGAATTTCATACACCTTCAGAGCTACTAATTGGGGATGTAGGTGGTCTCCAAAGTTGTCTCTAACAGAGACATCTTTAGTAAGGACACCCTAATTGGAATTCCCATTGAGTTAGAGTTGCTGAAACAGACTCATAGGTTTCAGAGGATATTAGTTGCCTTAGGTAGAAATGCATTTTGTTAGACAGCTCTCCCTGAGAATGCTTTCCCCAGCTCTTGTGTGCTTTGCCTCAGGGTTGTGGTATGTATTACCATAGACAAGCACAGTTGTCTCACTGAATCATAGATTGTAGTGGGGTCATGATCCATTATCCTAATTACCATGTAGAAAGAAATATTAAATAAAAAGATAAAAAGATGTCTTTTTAAGCTTCATCCACATAAATTCATGTCTAGCCAAGTGAATGAATGCACTGAAGTTTACTGCTAAACTGATTTTATACTCATTGGAACAGATTATAATTCCAGTGAAGTCTATGAAAAGATACAAAATTACACTAGGTTAAAATACCTAGATCTAGTCACACCTTTTATATTCTTTTTCCTTCTACCATTTGAATTAATGTATGTATTCATTACATGCACCAGCCCTATAATATAAAGAGCAGTCTTTTTTTATTATTATTATTTTAAAATAGCTGACTGAATAAAATGGTTCTTGAGAAAGGGTATAAAGAATTAAATATAAGTCCATACATATCTCCAGAATACAACAGATTTTCACAATGAGAGAAAGAATCAATTATTTATTATCAGATTATCTGGGAAGTCACTAGACTCTAAAAGCTCCCAGAAACAGACCCTGTTAAGAGCCATGCTCAGCCTTAAAATAAGAAGAACTGGAGCCCGGATACCTGGATACCACTACCTGGAGCCACAGTCTAAGAGTGAGAAAATGTCTTCGTTTCAGCTGAGAAAAGTACAAGTGCATGCTGTGCAAAATGAAAAAGTCCACCTTAAAAAGAAAAGGATACAGAAGGAAAACTAGCCATGAACAGAAACAACCCCTTTGAAACTATATATCCTCCCTGACTTTCCTTGAAACCTTTCAGAACTCTAAATTCAGCCTTTCTCTAAACTTGCCTGTAATCTTTGAGCAATCATAAAAATACTTGCAGGTTTGTAGCATTTACAAACATTATCCAAAAATTTTATGCCAATTGGACACCCAGCATCTTATTTAAAAAGAAATGCATATTTCCCCATGAAGGTTCTCAGATAATAAAGATCCTTTGTTCACTGACTAAAAGAGCAGAGAAAGAGGCAGGAATGTCTCCAGTTTCTAATGTAGTTTCTATATTGTGTGAACAATTATTGTCTTAATCAACACCCACACCTACGACTTCCCATTCTACTCAATCATTTTTATACAGAGTGTAGTTAGACTGGCTACTTCTTGCTCCTCAGCACTCTGCTGCTGTCCTGAAATTGCATCAACGTCAGTGGAAGCTGGCGTCCCTGCCTCAGTGCCAAAGCTGAAATTTTCAAATTTGCGGCCATCATACTGGGAGGTGCTGAATGAGTCAGAGTGGCTGTCTGAACTGATGAGGTCACTGCTGCCTGCGCTGGCAGGTGACGTCCATTCAGAAGGCACGCCTGGGTCATCTATAGGACGCATTTGGTTCTGTTTGTTCAATGTATCAGGAAGGTCTTTAGGAACTTCCAGGCTGCCAGGACTGCCTAGTTACTTGGACTACCATGTGACGGTAGGTGTTAAGAATGCGTTTACACATATCCGTGTGTTCATCCAGCAGAGCTTTAATTTCATTTGCAGGTTCAAGAAAGAATATATTTGAAGAATTTATTATAAAAACATGCAATACTGACTGTACTCCAGCTCGTATATTTTGCTCTTCAACATCCATTTTGGACATATTATGCAAAGTGTCTTCGTAACAGCCACTTCTTGCCCAGTTTGAATTTCTGACATGACTGGAGTTCATCCCTTTTTCCTCTTCTCTTTTTTTTGCTTTCTCTGATGAATTGTGGTCAACAACATTTTCATCACAATCTACCATTGTGCACTGCAATATTTCTTCAGGTTCTTTCATAAATAAAGGCTTGTCCTCTTGCTGAATCCATTCCTGATATACTTTTACCACTTTCCTCATGGCAGCTGCTTCACATATTGGCAACAGAAATGCCTGTCGAAAAATCTCAGTTAGAAAATTAATGTTGCTTCTTTTTGAAGAAAGACTTTCTGGACAATTTCAATATCAGTTAAATGCTCTTCATCAATACTGCAGAGGCTGGAAGAACTTGGTTCTCTCTCTGTTAGAGTACTTGTATTAGAGTGAGATTGTTCTGTCTCTGCATTTCTATCCTGCTTATCAGTGCTGTCATTTTTGCTGTCCTCCCTTGAAGCCATGTTAGCAGCTGCTCTCTGAATATTCTTTGGCACATTTTCACCTTCCATCCCAGGAATATGAGGTCCTGTATGAGGTTTTGGCTCAAACCAGAAAGACATCAACCATCGAATGACAATAACACGAGCTTTAATAAAAGGTTCCTTTGTGCAATATATTGCCTCATTGGTTTCAGCATCTTTCTTAACCATTACATAGTGTGGCTTTGGTCTCATTTGTGGTATATCAAGTATAGGGCTGTATAAGCTGGTCTCCTTACAGATGTTTGGGAAAATAGAAGGTAAGTAGTATTTCTTAAAATTTGAGAATAAAAATGAAAATCCTTTTTCCTGGTTTTCTTTGTTCTTCCATTCTAAACTCTTAACCTGAATTACTATGTATTTCAAAAGTGCTTCTAAGAAATATCTTGTTAAATCTTCTTGTCCTTTATCTCCTGATTGTGGAGGAACAAGTGGAGTGAGTTCCTCTATAGTCACTTGAGTTTCTTGAACATTAAGTGGAGGGTTAATGAGGTTATCTAGTGTTCGGGGCCATATTCAGACTGTGGTGATGAAAATCCAGGAATCAAGCAAGAAAACATCCATAACTGTTCTTTACTACAGTTATTTTGAAGTGCTTGCAGCCACAAAAGAAAGAGATGCACGCCCTCTCGCCGTATCTTTAATGAATTTCCAGTGTGAAGAAGCTTCTTTAAAATCAGCCCAATACTATGAAATTGCCATCTCTGATGAATCCTTTCTGGAAGGAGTTGCAAAATTTTCTCAAAAATAAAAAGAATAGAATCTAATTATTCTCTCTGAGACTTGTGACCTTTTTGTTTAAGACCTACTTCGATAGTCACAAAGTTTTCAAAGAACACATAATATATATGTGAGAAATGGAGGTCGAATAACTGTTTGAGATCAATTGATTCTGCATTCTCGATGAGGATGCGCAGGTGCTTGAGGCGGGTGAGCAGGTCCTTGTGGGTGTCCAGCACCTTCTGCTGAAGGCTGAAAGAGTTGGGGCTGTTCAGCCTGAAAAAGAGAAGGCTCCGGGGAGATCTTATAGCGGCCTTCCAATACCTGAAGGGGGCCTACAAGAAAGCTAGAGAAGGACTTTTCATAAGGGCAACTAATGACAAAACAAGGGGAAATGGGTTTAAACTGAAAGAGGGGAGGTTTAGATTAGATATTAGGAAGAAGTTTTTCACTGTGAGGGTGGTCAGACACTGGAACAGGTTGCCCAAGGAAGTTGCGGATGCCCCCTCCCTGGAAGTGTTTAAGGCCAGGCTGGATGAGGCTTTGAGCAACCTGATCTAGTGGAAGATGGCAGGGGGATTGGAACTAGATGATCTTTAAGGTCCCTTCCAATCCAAATCATTCTATGATTCTATACAGAGACAAAGAGAAGACACTATGTACATTGCTATTATGGCAGTGAGGGGGTTGTTTTTTGTTGTGGGTGTTTTTTTTTTTTACTTTCCTGTTTATTAAATAATACAAATGTAGATGGCAGTGAGAGTATCTTCCTCACAGCATCATTTAGAGATATTAGAGTAACTGCAGCTAGGGGAAAAAAGACAAAATTGCTTAAGTCTTAAGCGACTGCATTAGTTTCCAATCATGTTCTTATTTATTTTAACTTTATGATATAAACTTGTTTCCTTGAATAAGTCAGAAGCAATTCTTTCTTATGATACTGCGAGAGTAAGGGACGTTTCAGCCTCTATAATCTGACACAACACAAACCCAACAGACTGTGACACAGCCAGTCAAATCCACAGAAAGGGGTTCTCCTTAAATTTAGGATTCAAGATCTAGAAGAATTTAGAGCAAAGAAAAAATCTCTGCTGTTAGATTATTTTATATCTCATGGGAAAGAAACACAGATGCCCCTTCTGTTAGATAATGTGAATCCTTCCACTCCACAAAGTCAAGGTTCCCAAAACAGCTAAACCATAAATGCACACAAAAAATATACCTTTCAGAAGTGGGTTCCCAAGGGGTGTCTCTTTCCTGGAGGTTATATCTATATAAAGGATAAAATTTCTCCAGTATACCTGTCCTTTTAAATTATTTCAAAATTCACAGGTATATATGAAATACAGCCTGTTGAGTATTTGTCAGCTGAGGTGAATGCTTTGTTGCCCCCTCCAACCCCTACCCCTGAGATCTAAGGAGATATTTCAACAAAATATTTCCCTCAGTAACTCTGTTGTCAAATATTGTCTGGAAACGGAAAAAAACTCCACTCAAAATAATAAAAACATTACAACTTAATTCTGTGTTCACCCCAAAATTCTTTAAAGTCCACTTCAGCTTCTGTAGATGTAAAAAAAGCAAACGCTACTCCCTCCACCACCACCAAAAAAAAAAAACAACCCAAAAAACAAAAAAGCAAAACCAAACAGAACAATCAAACAAACAAACAAAACTGACAAAATTTGAGTCTGCACTGGTTATAAAGTTGCTTATAAAATTTATTTGCAGGTTTTGGAGCTGGTCATAAGGTTGCTTAAAAAAATTATTTGCAGTTTTAGAAGAATAGTTTTTCTCAAATACTCATTTTGAATATACAATCAAACCATTTAAAATTTCTGATGGCACTTTGTGTAAGACCAGTCAGTCCTAGTTATTATATAGTACTTTCATCTGGAATGGTTCATCTAGCACAGGTAGTGGAGTTTCTCTCTCCACAGGTGAGAAAACTGAGGAATGGGAAATAAATGGTTAATCTCTTTACAGAAGAATAGGGAACAGAACTGAAGCTGACCTTGCTTATAGTCATGGACATGAATGTTCATGAAGTAAAGTCTGTGTGTTATGAACTATTGTATATATCCTCGGATCAAACATTTTCTTTAGTCAAATAATGTTGACTTTTGGGAAAGCTCCTGAGGCATTTAATACACTAGAAAATTCATTACACTCTTTGTAAACTACACTTTTCCAGTGCTAGAGTACTCTTTACAGAGTAGCATAGATGCAATGAGTCTTGTTGAAAAGGATAATGTCAGACAGTTGCTTCAGCCAAGCCTCAGTGTTGTTTTTTCCTTGTCATTTTCATTCTGGCCTTCCTAGTCTCTGGACCTCCATGCAGTTGAACTTGTGTTATCCATAACAGCCTTACTACTAAGTCTGTCTCTGGAAGCAGCCAGCAAAACTTGCAGTGAATCAAATCTCCATGCTTGCACCACATAATTTTATTTTATTCCTCTAGCATCCAGACACTGACTCTGGTTATTTCTGAACAAAAAGTAAGTGGAAAAATATTATGTATGCATGCATATGTGTTTTATAGACATGGAAAAATGCGTACAGTCATGTACTAATTTTTAAAAACAGATGATATGTTAGTGTCGTGCTTTTAACCCAGCTGGCAGCCAAACACCACGCAGCCACTTGCTCACCCTCCTACAACCCAGAGAATGGGAAAGAGAATTGCAGAAGTAAAGGTAAGGAGACTTGTGGGTTGAGATGAACACAATTTAATAATTGAAATAAAATTAAGAATAAAATAATAATAAGAGTAATAATAATAATAAAATATACAAATGAGTGATGCACAGTGTGATTGCTTGCTATCTGTTGACTGATGCCCAGCCTGTTCCTGGCTAGCAGTCCCAGAGGAGAGAAAATCCTGAAACCCCAATTCCGGAACAGAGATTCCCAGACAACCCTCAAAGATATACTGAGCATTATGTCATATGATATGGAATATTCCATTGGCCAGTTTGGGTCTATTGCTCCTGCTATATTCTCTCACCACCTTCTTCTGCACCTGCACACTAGCAAAGTGTGGGAAGCTGAAAAGTCCTTGATTTCTTAGCAACAAATAAAAACTTCAGTATATTATCAACAATCTTCTCATAACAAATCCCATACTCAATCCAAAACACAGCTCTATTCTAGCTACTAACAACAGAATTAGATCTATCCCAGACGAAACCAGGACATAAACTTAAAGTCCATCACTGTTTTATAGCATTTTCAGTGAGGGATAAACATATACAAAAGCTAACAAAAAATATGGTGTGTGTTTTCTGGAGATATCAGCACGCACTCTTTAATTGCACTATTTCAAAACTAGCTTTAACTCTGGGCTGGGACCATAAAGAATGATACACACACTGAAACCACAAAATAACAAGGGAAAATAAAGAACAGTACCTTTCCATCTCAGTACAAACTCAAAGGAGCACAATTCCAGACTTGCAGGAGTTGGACAAATTTTCTCATCTACTTCTCTCTTCTGAACCACCTATAAAAAGACTATTTAGGCAAAAGGGAAAACTCTTAAAGGGAGAAAAAATAAAACAAAATGTTTCAGGTTTTATTCTCAGAGCCCAAATTCAAGGCATGTATAAAATAAAATAAAATAAAATAAAATAA